AGCCACAGGGCAAACTGACCTCTATGTGCCTGAGTTAAAGCATAGCTTTAAAATCATAGTATATGCCAAAAACTAAATAAGAAATCAAAAGGATCTGTTCTTATTAAAAAAATCAACACAGTATGTATTAAAAGTTTTTTCTTTCATTTCTTCATTTGTATGTCTGTGTTTAGCCTAAAACTACGAAATGTTCTTGCTCTAAATCAAAATTACCAGGCATCTTTTCCTTTTGTATTCCTTTACAAATATTTCCATCTCTAAAACTAGAGCTTTCTGGCCTTTGGCTAGCAGCATGGCCAGATCTACAGGCATTACAGGAAAATGTCAATTTGCTCTAGAAGCAATTACATATACAGTATAGGCGAAGCCAATTTTACTATCCAGGGACCACACGTACTGTGTTTGCTACATTATTTGATATCAAAGCAGGAATGTTTTCCAAAAACACACATGAAATAAAGAACCTAGCTAAAGAACACCCACTCCAATTCAGGGATATCTGTTACAGTTTACAGGACTTGGCAATACAGACTTGCCTGGTTGGTTTACTAGAAAGGGATATTATATTGACTAAACAATACACTATTATTTATTTAACATTATGCATATTTTGAGTTAAATGAATATGATTTTAATCCCCCTTATTGCAAATACAAGTATATTTTCAGTGTGTGCCAGTTAGGTTTCACATCTCTATAGAAAGAACAAGGAGGACTTGTTGATCCTTTGTTATGGGGGTACTTCAAATTGTTTCATCACACCTTCAGATCATTGTCATATCTTCAGAGATGATTGTTATGGTTTGTGTTTATCTGCCTCCCCCCTCCCCAAAGCCTCATGCAGACCTGAAGCTGCTTCTGGAGTTTGTGATTGATTATTCCGGGTGTGGGTGGTGCACCTGTCCTGGGGCAGGTAGTTTGCATTACAATGTAAGGAGGGATGAGAGTCTAGCTAGCTCCCTTTGTTCTCTTGCTCTTTGCCACCTCCATGAAAGGTTCCTCTCTGTCATGTGCCTCTCTGCCTTGGAGCCAGCTGAGTATGAAATGAAATCTCCAGTAACTGTGAGCTAAATAAATCCTTGCTTCCCTAATTTTGAGTCTCAGGTATCTGTCCCAGCAATGAGAGAAGAGTAACCGAGGTAATGATAATCTATAGTATGGATTATTAGCTTTGTTTCAGTTTGTAGCATTATGCTATTTTGGTGTGATGACTTTCGTTCATGTGTTCAGAGTGTGCACACTGTCTCTACTTTATGACAAATAGGCATTAGGAATACAGAACTAAATGAGACATGCTCCTTAGGTAAATATAGCCTTGGGATGGAAAAGGAAAGTGAGGGAGTTGTGTGTGTGATTTTTTATAGCTTATGTTCATCAAGCAAAGGAAGGAAAGAAGGAAGGAAGGAAGAAAGGAAGGAAGGAAGGAAGGAAGGAAGGCGGGAAGGAAGAGGGGAGGAGAAGGAAGAAAGATGGTAGAAACTTAGAGGATGAAATATAATTTAGCATATGTAGGGAAAAGATGGTCAGGGATGGTGAAACCAGAGGTCACCTTTGTATCCAAAGGGCTAGTTTCTGGATTGGATTAGAGGACTGGGGCCTCGGGAAATAGTGACCTGCATACTAAAGCCATGAATGGGAGAGACCAGAGAACTACAAAGTGGTTCCTAGAGCCTACCTGTGTGTGAAGAATGAGCTGCAAGAAGGGGGAGAACACCAGGAAGGCCCTACACAGTGAAAAGGATTTGGACTTTACACTGCAGGGCACGTTTTCACACATTCTTCAAATGCTCTAAGATGAAATAATTTTAAAACTGGCACAGAGATGAGCTAATGAGACTACAGGAAGAAAGAAATAATAGAACATCTAGATGATGGGTATGCAGACATTTATTATATAAACAAGGCAGCATTTCCAATTAGTGAGTAAAGGGTGGGTTTTTCAAGAGTTGTCTCAAAACTGAGTAGCAATTTCAAAATGAAATGTAGTTGCTATATCCCATACGATTCATGCTTTAAATTCTTAAATGAATTATACATTTGCATGTAAAAATATCGGAAGAAAAATTTAACGTATTGGCATTAGAAGATGTTTGTTTTGTTTTAGTATAACATTGTTAGAAAGCTCAAAGGAAAAATATTGGTGGGTTCACAAGGTTATCATCTTCAAAAATCACTAAGTTCTGAAAGGCAAGACATTACATAATTGCAGGCAGTCAACAGGTTAAGAAAGAATGTTTGCAATCTATGCAGCATTCAAAGAATTTGAACCCATAATGTATACCATATCAACCTAATACAAGCCAATTTTTAAAAAATGTAACCTCAGAGAAGTGGATAGAGTATACAAAAATAAAGAATTCATGAAATGAATTATACCAAGTGATACTAAAGTATGCTTAATGTTAGTAACAATCAATGGAATACAATTAAAATAGTTATGTTTTTCATATGTCAACAGAAGTTACAAGACAGTGACAACTGTCTCAAGTATCTGATAATGTCCTGCAATTGAGAGAGTGTGGTGAAATAGGAACTCTCAAATACTAAGATAATAAACTCAGTTCATATTTTTTGAGAAGTAATTTTTCAGCTTCTAGAATATCATGACGCTATAAATCAATAGGTAGCAATTTGTCTTATACATATATTAAATGTTTTAAATGAGTACATATTAAAATATATAAATATACACCCACAATTGTGCAAAGACTGTATAAAATATTTATCATATTGTTTTCTTTTTAATGTATTTAAGGACAGGGCCTACAGGGTCTCACTATGTAGGTCTGACTCATAGTGATTCTCCTATTTTCAGCTTCTCAAGTGCTGGGATTACAGGCATGTGCCACCACGCCCAGTCTCAGTCCTAGTCTCAATGTGCCCTAAGGGTGTGGCCAACATGCACACCTGGGATCGAACCCTAGCTGCTGAGCTCTGACTAAGCAAGTGCTTTAGTCCATTGAGCTATCTGGCTGGCCCTCACACCATTATTAACAACAGCAAAAAATCTGAAGACATTAAGACTCACCCAAGAAATTAATTCAATAAATTGCAGCACATAGCTCAATTATGTTGTTTTTAAGGATATAGTTTCATGGAAAGATATTCATGAAACAAATTATTAGTAAAATAGTATTTGTGCATAATCTGCCAAGAGGGGTAATGAACTACAGTGGGTCAAGCTGACATGGATTTGAGGCCCAGAACCTCTACTTATAAGTATGTAAAATCTACTAACTTCCCTAAAGTTTTTATTTTAATCTGTACAACTGCACTGAAACCTACCTCATAGAGTTGTAAGGAGAATTCCAAGTGTATAATACAGCTTAAGTATATATTGGTTGTTATTATTTGGAGATGTTTCAATGGTTATTTTCAATCAATTCTTTTATGGAAATAATGTTTGAATGCAAGTGTATTCCATATGCTATTATAAAATATATTTTAATCCCCCCCTTTTTTTTGTGGCAGAACCAGGGTTTGAACTCAGGCCCTTGTGCTTGCCAGGGAAGTGCTTCTTCCACTGAGCCATCTCCCCAGCTCCTATAAAATATATTGCAGAAAATTGTACTTCATAGAGTCTTTAAGTAAATACATACATCAAAGGCAATTTTACCTTACATAAACAAAATATCCTATTTACCTGATCACCTCCCCCTGGGCTATGCACCAGCACAGGTCTAAAGTCTGTTAGGAACCAGGCTGCACGGCAAGAGGCAAGTGGCAGGCAAACCAGCAAAGCCTCCTCTGTGCCTACAGTCTCTTCACCTCACCCACACTGCTGTCTGAGCTCCACCTCCTATCAGAAGGTGGCGTTAGATTCTCACGGGAGCATCAACCCTATATGTGAACCATGAATGGGAAGGTTTTGGATCACAAGATCTTTGTGAAAATGCAGTGCTTGATTATTAGAGGTGGGACTAAAGCTGTGATGCTAGCAGTGCAGAGAGGCTGCAAATACAGATCAGTATTATCAGAAGGGCTTGACAGCACAGAAACCCTAATATAACAGTTTGCGACTTCATATCCAAACCCTGTCAGTGAGCAGCAAGTAACAGTTAGGCTACATCTGGTGCAAGTTTTATAGTAGCAAACGAGGCGATGTACTTCAATTGTTCAGCTGATCTGGTGCAGGCCTTAAGTCAAAATCTCACACTTAATTCAGTCTGTGCAGGGCCCACTGATGATTTGATTTACTACTTCTGTCAGTGCTTCATTCCTGCACTGCACACCTGTCTTTGTCAGAGTTTTAGTAAGCCTGCAAGCTAACTTTGACATGAAAAAAACCAAACATAACCAGCAAGCTTTTTTTGAAAAGGGAAAGACCCAATGATGACACAGTGGAAGACTAATACTGGGAACAAAAAGAAAGCTACATTTAAAGGAAAGTACCCACAGTCTTCTGCATTATGGTGAGCTGTGTAATTATTTCACCATATATTGCAACATAATAATTGCAAAAATAAAGTGCACAATAAATGTCATGCACTGAAGTCTCCTGAGGCCACCTCCCCTTCCCCACCCACTCCAGCCCATGAGTAAAGAGTCTTCCACAAACAAGTCTGATGATAAAAAGGCTGGGGATCATTGATCTAATAGATGTAGTAATGGATTTGATATACCAGTTTTTGACACAGATTTATTTTGATCGTGTATTCATAAGCCACAGTGCAAACAAGGAATGCATTTGTATATTTAATTACAAAGTAAAGAACTTTCAAGTTTGGGTGGCCTCAGTTATGAAAACTTTAATGATATAAGTTAGAAACTGCCCTTTAGTCATGAAGGTATTAATAACCTTGTTGTGGTAGTTTCTGTTACATATGTAATCAGTTTTTAATCATTTCAGGAAAAAATAACAAAGTAGGAAGGCTCATGTTTAGATATGTTTCCCAATAAACCTAGGAAAATAAACCACTGGAGATGAGAAAACATATTTTACAGAAATAGTTTAAATTAGCTCTATCAACATAAAGCTTATAAATGAAAAACAATACATACCCCTCTGTTCGGAAAATCATTCGAAAGCTGTCTCCTAAGCTTTTGTAACTGTTCGGATCAGCTGTGCTTCTCTGAAGCTGAAACCTAGAAACAAAAAACAAACAAAAGTCTAAGTTGAGGCCTTTGCAAAATGAGTTTCCTAATTGTTTTAGTCTTAGAAACTCATTTTTTTTTCCGGATTAATCTAAAATATTCTTGTCTTTGCTATAGACTTTATTGATTTGATTGCCTTAATCTTTGTCTTATTTCTATAGAATTTTGAGGTCATATTACTATGCAGTTTATGGTGGTGTTCACTTAAAATGTCTCTTCTTCTCCATCTCTTTTTCTTTCTCCTCCTCTTCCTCCTCTTCTCTCTTTTTTCATTTTGGGTCTGAATATTTACCTCAGAACTCTCTCTTTTCAAATGTGGATGTTTCCAGGGCCAGATCTGAAATTGTATTTCGAATTTGCACTATGTTTCAGAGGAGAATGAAAACAAATACTCTCACTCCTCCCTAGCCCCAGCTCTTCATTCTCTGGTCTCTTTAGTCTGCCTATTCTTTTGGTCTTACATTCTTATTTCAATTCTGATTTAAGGCCCTTCTCCCTCCTTTGCTTCCTGCCACAATTTCATTTGTTTCTTTATTTGTTAACCTTTTCAAAGTTATCTTCAGTATATATTTCAAGATGTTTTTCATATGATAGGCTTCATAATATGAACACAACATCTACTTCTAACAATAATGTGCTTTATTGGTTCTACGCCTCAAGGAATTATACCGAAGACTAATACACATAACAGAGAAGAGATGTTGTGTTGCTTTGATTGAAGCCATTGACCAAATAAAAGGAATGAATTTCTCAATGCTGAGAAGAGAAGCTGGAATTACATTTGGTTTTACAAAGTGGAGAGTTGCTAATTTTATAGTCAGGAGAGTATCTGTTCAGGGTTGTATGAGCCTGGGTGCAATTCCTGGTCTGTGTAAATCTCTAAGTAACATTAGCCAATTAGATGGTCTAGAGTAGGAGTGTGAAGTGGAGAACCATTAGAAAGTCATCACAACAGGTGAGAGAGAATTACTCCAGAATACAAATGGAAACACCATAAATGAAGAAAAGGGGCCTACGTGTTAGGTAGACATGTTTTATCTTAAATAAAACTTTTTGCTGATATATTTAGCATGTTCTTTTGATCTTTAACATAGCACATAATTTTTCAGAGCCCTATGCCTACTATTATCAAACTTTAAAATGTCATAAACACTCATCTTGAGAATCTGGTTTTTTTTGGTCAAAGTTCCACTTATATTGGCATGATCAGTATAGTTTAATTATACTCTTAAATTTAAATTGTACAGAGTATATGAGAAGGTCATGGTTGTGAACAGGTAACCCATTTAAATTGCTTGTGACTGAAAGCTGATTCGTTATACAGATACAGTACCATGGAAAGAAGATGCGGCTAGTGGTTCTACAGCCTAAAAAAAGACTTGATGGTCAGATAGTTGTTCCTTATTTGGGTATTTTTGGCCTACAGTAGAGTAGATGAGATAATTTGGTACTTTGAAGACATTTGAACTAATACTAAACAGAAAATAACACAATGGGAGAACTATTTGGAAATTTGTGCAAAAATAATTGGAACATACAGAGCAATTATCAGACTACGACTTTGTTTTTACTTCAAATGCAGCAACTCCATCTCTTTAGTCACAAATTTATAACCCACATGCACTGTTCAATATGAAATTCTTTCTTATATCTAGTTGGGAAATCCAAGAGCCCTCTTTAATAGTTCTTTTAAGGAAGTTATTTAAAGTAGTTTCATACATTATAACAAGTATGACATGCACATTATTTTCATAATATCTGTAAGAATCTTTCATTAAAATATGTAGCTTAAATTCCTTTTTATGTGCTTTTCTCCCAAATTATGAAATATTTTCTTAATGTGTGCCATGTGACATGAGACACAATAGGCTTTACAGAATCCCACAGCATTATGTCCACTCTGAAACAGTGTAAAAAATAAATGCGAACAAAAATAATTGATGATAAAGGGGAAACATCTGAAATGTTAAGCAGTTTGGGCACCAGGGTTATCCAGGTGTTCATGGGGAGGGCAATTATTGCTTTCTGAGGAGGTCTGGGAGGGTTTCAGGAAGGAAAGGGGATTTGAGGTGGTCCTGCTGAGATTCAGAGAGGCCAAGAGAGCAAACCAAGAGGAAGCATTTAGGTGGGAAAGGAACAGAAGCCTCTGAGGGATGGCTGCCCTTTCTAATGGCAAAGTGAGCAAAAAGACCCTCCTCCACCACAAAGCCTGTCTCTCCATGTTTCCTCCAGGAAGATGTTGGCACAAGCTTGATCACTCAAGCTGGCTGAACACTGAGCTCATCAGATAAAGTCAAAGGCCAACATAGATCTTGTGACCTTATCTTGCACATCACCCAGCACTCCACCTACCTCTGGATGGTCATGTCACAGTTGTGCAGCTCTAGCCTTAGATAGGGCTGTGAGGAGCCAGCAGATGCAGGATCTAGACTTTCTAGACCCTCATGTCTAGAAAGTCGACCTTAACCTCTCCTTTATTGCTGGTATTAGGGCCTGAAGTTTATCTAAGATGTCTAAATTGCAGGTAATACCTGCACTTTCACAGATGTGAACACAGAGTATGGTTACTTCACAAGTAAATAACCTGGCCCTTGAGAGTCTCGGCACTTACCCCCATAGTCATGCTTTCCCTGTTTTTGGACTCCAAGAATTACTGTTTCCAATCCATATTTACTCAGTTGATATGAGTTCCCTGTCCATTGTAGAACAGGAAACAAAGGCAGTCAGTGGGATCCTTAAGGAGCATTTCCTATAAAAGCTGTCTAACAAGTGATGCTGTGTTCCTCACCACCATGAGAGGCAACATCAACATAACTACAGGAAGAGTCCATAGTATCACTGGCTGAGCACTGCAAAAGGATGCATAGCCACAGCCAACACTGATGCCTCAGAAAAGCCTCCTGATCAGTCCTTGCTATGTTAAAGCAGCTGGAAGTGCCATTAAACAGGCAAAGACAAGGACAGTGTCTCTACTACAGTGGCTCTCACACACCACATGTCCACACTACACAGAGTGAGGGTATATGCAGCATTTTGTTCCATTGCACACGACTTGCTTTGATCACACAGTTATCAGCTTTTCTAAGGAATGTGTTTCAAGTAGGTATAATTATAGTACATCGTGGCCAATCATGTAAAAGAGTAATTTCCTTCTTCCTTTCCCCTGCATTTCAGCAGCTTTAAAGGTTTCTTCCCTCTACCGAAGCTTTACGTCAGTGTTTTCCAGGCTGGATTGTGTGCTAATAAATTCTCTCTGTGCTGAGGCGGACAGTTTTCCAGTTACGTAATAGAACTCTTGGTACGACTGCAAAGGCAAAGCTATGCTGATCTTGATTGTATTCGGGAGAAAATGTTGGACCTTTCCATTTCCCTAATCACAGCAACTTGGACACATCTGGTATCTCCATCTGTGTAACTTCTTTTATTGGAATAAAAACTTGCTGCCAAACAGACAAACTGAACAACAGAGTGATGGACGAGAGATGCTCAGTGCTTGATATGCAATCAGACTCACACACAAGGCCAAGGCGTGTGGCTCCGTCTCACCTGGGCTACACTGCAAGCAGCCAGGGAAGAGGTCTGCCACAGTGTCTGCCTGCACAGGCCTGAGCCACACCAGAAATAGGAAGTGATGTACTGTAGTCTCCACTAGGGCCTAGAAGGACTTCTTCCTGTTCATGAACCAGTGCATAAACATTTTTTAAAGTTAAAGATGTTCGTACTCGCTACATCTTTTTTTTTTTTTTTTTTTTGCCTATTATCAAGAATCATGATTGCAGAATGTCCCTCACATCCAACTGAGTGCTGAGTGAACCCGATTTTAAACTTGTCTGTTGATCATCAGTATAGTCAGGTAGGCAACTTCAACTTGTCTGTGCCCTGCTGAAGACATGGCTGTAAGAAAGCTGTCTGCAAGAAATACAGTGGCTTTGTTGCCATAAGAAACTTCAGGGCAAGGCATTTGGGAATTTCAAAATGTGAAATTGAATAAATGCCTTTACTTCTAAAGGATTGAAAATTCCAGGATGTGGGTATATGCGTAAAATATACCTGTATATAATTTATGTACTCCCATTTTTATATGATTATGAAATGATTATATTCATGTGTTTGTATCTTCATTACGAGTTGGTAGTAATTAGTTGTAAAGGGTCAGATAGGCATAGGCGATGGGCTTTGTTCTCAGGCTATATTTGCACACCACACTTCAGCTTCTAAATCAAATCAGATTATTTGGTGTGGGCCGGGGAGAGAACGGAGGGAGTTCTGGAGGCCAAGAGTCACTGTGAGCCATGCCTTCAACACTGCAAAGGGTGATGTGCGGCAGGGTGAAGTTTATTTCTGGTGCCTTCTGTCTCCAGATCATTTCTCACTCAACAAAGTTTTAGGCTTTCTCATACCTCACCCTCTTCACCCCTGCTTTTGAAAGCACTCGTATCCATCATTCATCTTCACTGTCACTTTCATTTTCATATCTTGTCTGTCTAAGTTTTTCATCTGTTAAGAGGATTTCAGGTATCCAAAGGGAGGTGGCAAGGTTTGGTTTTATGTAGGGTGGAGATGCAAGGTTTCCTTACCACCAAAGACAGTTCTAAGTTACACTCAATCCTGCCCCACCCTCCCAGGGAATTTTATGCACTGTAATGCATTTAGCTGCATCACAACCCCGCCTTTTGGTTGGAGAGAGAACGCAGAGTGGGAGCCACCAGTGATAACACCAGTGCTGCCACCAGCCCAGCATAAACTGGTGAGCTACATCATCTAATCCTTCTGCCTTTCTCCTCACTGGTAAACGAGACAGCAGACAACAAAAGAGAATTTTAGTGTGGAGGCAGAGCAGCACTCAGTTAATATTTGAGGGTTTTTTTAATTTGCTTTTTTTTTTTGTTTTTGCAGGACCGGGGATTGAACTCAGGCCCTTGCGCTAGCCAGGAAAGTGCTCATCCCACTGAGCCATCTCCCCGGCCCCCAATATTTGAGTTTTTTGACTA